AGACTTTGTTTTTTTTTATTAAACATCATGTAGTTTTTGGTGTAAGGTGTAATTGCAAGCACACAAACTCTAACTTACAGCTTGCAGCAGTGAGAATCACAACTTTTATGTCATTCAATCTCAGTTCTATATTGCACAACTTTTCTCTTTTTTTTGATCTTTGAAGTCAATTTTATGATTCTCTAGAGGAGCTATTCACATCTCTCAGTTAAATACTTTAAACACAATCATACTTCCAAAAATAATGTTCTGTAGAAATGTTCAGTGTTTGATAATGATCCAATTTTAGTTGCATTTCACAATGCCAATATGATAGGAACTATGTTATCATCAAGGGGAACACACACCAATGTAGGACTAAGAAGAGAACATCCCTTATTCCTATATGACACTGCTCTGCACCCATGCAACCTTCCCTGACTGGGAAAGCTCTACAGCTCCCATACAGTTGGGGCCCATGAAATGGCTCATGGAGATTACTGTAGAACTTTGGCCCCCTAACCTCCCTATGAAAAAAACCTTAGCCTTCTGTTTACATACATATACTAAAAAACCCACCAACCCATTCTCCTGTTCTCCTTCCCTGGGCAGTTCACCTGTAAGGAAAAACAATGATGGATTTAAAAAAAAAAAACCTGTCTTCACCATAAAAACTTCTATAATTTCATCTGGTTGTAACTCTGTATAAATCAACCTTTAAAATAAAGGTTATTAAAAATACTTAACAAGAAGGTTATCTTTTCTGTCTGATGACAATAAGCCATGTTCTGCTCTGGATTGTGTCACATTCTGAAATCACTGAAGTCTGGTCTACGTTACAAAATTGTGTTCAAATAGAATTGTGAAGAGTGGTGTTTTGATGATTTGTGATCATTATATTGACCACTGTTCTTGTCAATGTAGGCCTGGGCAAATCTTGTCCAACATGATTATGATTATGATTAATCTAATTACGATCTAATTATTATTGAACCTTTTGTTTGACACAATACTAACCAATCAGGGCATAGATCAAGCTGATTGACCTTAGTCTACATTGTCAGTATGTTGAGGTCAGAATCATGTTAGCTACTGAGATTCTTCAAGATTGCATTCCAAGATATAATTCTCTCATTTTATCAGGCCCTGAGTGATCAAGAGGATGGTGGGACTAAATATTTGACAAAACTATTGTTTATTGTCATTCAGTTGAATGAAAAATGACTCATAGCTGTTTTAAAGGAAGTTTTATTATTTATTAAATTTATCTGGGAACTTAACATTACTTTAAATAGTTATATATTTAACCATATTTATAATATGAAAACTCTTGTAAAAATAATAAGGTATCTACTTCTTCTTCTTCTTCTTTTTTTTTTTTTAGGAGATCACCAAGATTTATTGACCTAAGAGGTAAATATTGACCAAGGCAAACTTGAGGTCGATATTTATCCTGAGGGACAATAAATCTCTGTTCATTGAAACATAGTCAATGAAATGCAAAAATCTTCATTAATGTAATGTGAACATCGCCAATAATCAACCAAAAGTTGAGCTATTTTCACACTTTTTGCATTTAATTTCCTTGTTTCTTTTTTAAAGACAGAGAAGAAAACATGGGGGAAGATGAAAATGCCCTCACTGGCATTAATGGGTTTGCATAATTGTTTTGTATAGCTCTGTACAGTTGGTTTTAAACTGATATTCTCTGTAGATGGTAAAATATCTAGCTACAATTCTGCACTGTTATGCACTTTGATTTCAGACAAAGCCTTGGCTGTGTAGGTCTAAGCAAGACTTGGTTAAGTAAGCTGGATCTTTCTTAGTTTATCCTTCACCAGGCAGATATTCTGTGCATTCCATGCAGCAAGTGCCACAGAAGACTGAGGATCAGTTGTATCTGTTATTTTCACAGTTGTAGGTTGTGACACTCTATGATTGAAATATGACCATTTATATCATTAATATTGCCTCTTTTAGATAATTGCAGCAAATCTTGGACACTCCTATGATTCATCAAAGCATGCAAAGGCTCACATGACCCCGGACTCCATCTTGTGCCTGTAATTTCCCACAAATTAAGACCGAGAGCAGCCCCTCCACATGGGTGAAAACATAAAAGATCCTGGAAGCATATCCATTTTACCTCTTTCCTGCTCTGATCTCTGGACTAGGGATTTACACTAAAAGGAACGTTCCAACCAATGGATTGAGGACCTTCTATCTAACTTTTGGCAGTTACTAGGAATTTTACAAGCCAGCAATTTATTCCAATCACTGCTACAAACTTGATCCAAGAACTTTGCAATGATTGTATGTATATGATCCTTTCAACCATGTTAACTCTCTCCTTATTCTGTTCTCTTATAAATAAACCTTTGGATATTAGATACTAAAAGATTGGCAGAAGCGGGATTATTGGGTAAAATCTGAGTTAAATATTGACTTGGCTGTGTGACTGATCACTTGGGATTAGAAGAACCCTTTGTTTGATTAAATTGGTTTTAAATAACCACACATCATAAAGTCTAGTGTCTGGGTGGTGAAATAACTGCTAAGAAGACTACATTTCTGACTTCTTGCTAGCCAGTGTGGTGAGACAGAAGTTTACTTTTGTTACTGTCTTGGTATATTTTATGGAAGAATAACCACCAGCTTGAGATGGGTCTGCCCCATTTCTCAGCAGTTTGTCTTGAATCTGGTATTTTCAGCTGTGAACCACTGAGGCCTGGTGACATAGGTATATCTTTCCAAAGGCTGATTCAGTTCAATGTGTTTGCCTTGTATGCATGTCCTGAGATGGGGTAATGATAGTAGTGAGTATGGTGTTCAGATTACCTTTTTACGCTTCAGAACGCCAACCTGAGCCAATGGTTGTTGTCTGACCTACCACTGGAGTCATCCAGGCTTATTGTAATGGTCTCCGTAACAACCATGTGCCTATTACAAGTGGGTTTAGGATTTACATATATAGTCAGATACATCCTGGATCCTGTGACCCTTGTGACTGAAGGGGTAAAACTGACATCTTTGTAATGGCCAGACCATTACTTCCAACAGTTTTCAGCCAAGACTCACCTATGCTTCTGTCAGGTTAGAAACTGGAAGTTATGCTGAATTGAATCGATTGCCACATAATGCAGTGGTTTTCAAACTGCGGGTCACGAACCAATACTGGGTCATGAAATATAAGGCACTGGGTCGCAGCGGTTGTGGTCCGCATCACCGACCAGGTCGTTAAAAGTCCCATCAGCGATGCTGCTCGGAGTTCCTACCTGTTCTGACATCACACTGCACCCTGGAAGCGGCAAGCAGCAGGTCTGGCTCCTAGACGGGGAGGCCACGGGCTCTGCAAGCTGTCCCCGCCCCGAGCACCGGCTCTGTACTCCCATTGGCTGGGAACCTGCCAATGGGAGCTGGGGAAGGAAGGGAGTAGTGCCTGTGGGCAAGAACTGCGTGGAGCCTCTTGTGTGCCTCTGGCTAGGAGCCGGACCTGCTGCTGGCTGCTTCTGGGGTGTAGCGCGGTCCACTGTGCCAGGACAAGCAGGAAGCCTGACTCTGCACCCCCACTGCGCCACTGACTGGGAGCTGCCCGAGGTAAGCCCGTACCCCAACCCCGCACCTTAATCCCCTGCTCAAGCCCTAAGCCCCACCTAAACACAGAGCCCCCTCCTGCACTCCAAACCCCTCATTCCCAGCCCAACCCCAGAGCCTGCACTCCCTGCCCAGAGCCCTGACCCCCTCCTGCACCCCAACCCCCTACCCACGCCCACGACCCCCCTCCTGCACCCCAAACCTCTCATCCTGACCCCAGACCTGCACCCCCAGCCCAGAGCCCTGACCCCCTCCTGCACCCCAACCCCCTACCCCAGCCCAGAGCCCCCTCCTGCACCCCAAACCTCTCATCCTGACCCCAGAGCCTGCACCCCCAGCCCAGAGCCCTGACCCCCTCCTGCATCCCAATCCCATGCCCCACCCCACGAGCCCCCTCCCATACCCTGAACTCCTCATTCCCAGCCCCACCCCACAGCCGCACTCCTGCACCCCAACCATCTGCCCCAGCCCTGAGCCTCTCCCACACCACAAACCCCTCATCCCCAGCTCTGTTGAGTCGTGGGCATCAAAAATTTTCTTCAGCTGGGTTGCCAGAAAAAAAGTTTGAAAACCACTGATATAGCGGACCAGATGGTAACTTAAAGAAAGCTGAAGGAGCTGTACTATAGCAATGTCCCAGGACAAATTCTAGCTTACTTGGCCAGAGAAAAAACAACGAGGAATCCTTGTGGCACTTTAAAGATTAACAAATTTATTTGGGCATAAGCTTTCATGGGCTAAAACTCACTTCATCAGATGCATGGAGTGAAAAATACAGTAAGCAGTATATATATATATTACAGCACATGAAAAGATGGGAGTTGCCTTACCAAGTGGGGGGTCAGTGCTAATGAGGCCAAATTAATCGAAGTGCAAGTGGCCTATTCTCAACAGTTGACAAGAAGGGGTGAATATCAACAGAGGGAAAATTACTTTTTGTAGTGAGTTTCTCCTGGAACAGAAGCTCCACAATCTTTGAAATGTTCAACCCGGGTCCTTTCTTCCTGCAGGTCTATGTGTATGTAGAGGAAGAAAGGCCACTTTGGAGTTTAGCACTACCAGCATTGCGAAGTGGAAGCAGTGTCTCTGTTTCTCAGTCTGAATGCAAAATGTCACTTCCAAGGCTCTCAAAGGGGCTAGATTCCTCATGCAGTTCCCCTCCCCTTTGTAATCCATACAAAGCCAGGCAAAATCTAGCCTGGCTTTGGTATAGTAAAGAAAGTTTTTTCCTCCTCCACCTGAAAAAATCCTATTAAAGTCCTGATCCCGTGAGGTGCTAAGTGTCCTGTCTCCCACAGAGGTGGGAGCCACCTACATTGTAGCATGTTGCAATATCAGTTTCTAGGCAATTAAAACCAACCACTGCTGTTTTTTCTTCACTTCATGTCAGATCCTGTTTCTAAAACAAGCTTTCTAGGTGTTTGGTATTAAGTAAAGTAAACTGTGTGACAAGAAAACTTTAATTATCCAAATTCTCTGAGAGAAATGTGTGTCAGGCACAAGACATTTATTGACTATCAAAAGCTGGCTTGATTAGCATTCATGAAGCAATGAGGAATTTTACAGTGAAACAAAAACATCACCTTAGTTGGGGGGTGTTAAAGTGCATTGCAAAAAAGACTGACATCCCTGTTAGATTTGTGTAGTGATCAATTAACAGGTTGAAGATAGCAACTGTACAATACTCCAAAGAACTTAACAGTAAAATGACTTTGAAAATGCAGCTTTCCAATTCCATTCAGCTAACGTTCAGGGGGAGGGATAGCTCAGTGGTTTGAGCATTGACCTACTAAACCCAGGGTTGTGAGCTCCATACTTGAGGGAACCCCTTAGGGATCTGGGGCAAAATCAGTACTTGGTCCTGCTAGTGAAGGCAGGGGGCTAGACTTGATGACCTTTCAGGGTTCCTTCCAGCTCTATGAGCTAGATATATCTACATATATTATTAACAAGAAATTTGTATCCATAGCAGTTGTAATGGTTTATGGCAATATATGCTTAGAGTGTATAAATCACTATGCATTGTGGGCCAGATTTTCAAACAGATAAACACATAGTGTGAATGCACTTTTGCATACATTCATCTAAGGTATTTAAATCCTGGCAAAGTGCATGCCCAAAATAGGATTGTGTGCACACAACCACAACTTGTGTGTACTTTTTGAGGGATCTCTGCATATTAATATCTTAAATTATTTGTACTTTCATTTATACGGACACAGTAGCACACAGTTCTTTAGTATAAGATAAGAAGAGAGTAGCCTTATCTCTGCTGGGACTTGATTTCAGATGTTCAACTAGTCTACAAGTTTTATAACACAAAAGAGATGCAGAAAATGTTTGGAGCTGTATTGTCCTTGGGGAAAAGCGGGTCAGGAAAAGGATCAGGATGTGATGTAATAGTATTTATTGGACTTGTAAGTAAAGTGTAATACAAAAGCTTTCCAGGTCTGACAAATTGAAGAAGGGAACTTACTGATGCAAAAATCTGCAGTGTTATAACTTGCTTGTTAGTTTGATAGAATATTAGGCAGTGCATCCCCTTCATAAAGATATACCATCTATTAATTGGAATTTTGAAAAGCTATTAAAAGATAGTAGTAATCAGACACTGAAAATGTCCACCTAACATAATTTTCATAAGCACCGTTTACCTGAGAAGGCTGAATGGTTCCTCTGGTTTATTTTAGAGCAAATGGTTTATTTTAATACAAAAGCTCCAGAGTTTTTTTATGATTCGATCTTCTAGGAGTATTAAAACCATTTCCAAATCCAACTTTATGCAAAATAGATCATGCAAATTCCCCTCTGTAGCTAACTCTTATTTTCTTACTCAACGAGACCATCAGTGGTGTATTAGCCACCGGGTCAATGGGGCCCATGCCCAGGGGTCCCGGCCAATTGGAGGGCCTCAGAAAAATGGGCACCCTTGTGCCCTGACCTCACTCCCCAGCAGGAGCGCTGGGTGGGCGAGGGAAGCCCCCACCCGCCCAGTGCCAGAAGGGCGGAGCAGGGCAAGCCCCCATTTGACAGGCAGGAGTGCCAGGGGAGGTGCGTGGGGGCGGGGGAGGGGGGGGAGACTTCAGGCAGAAGGGATGGAGAGGGGGCCCCCACTTTCTGTGGCCCAGGGCCCTATAAAATGGTAATCTGCCTCTGGGGACCATAGATGCTGGAACTAGGGGTGCCTTATCCCCTGGCTTGAAGTAGTTTCCATCATATACAGGGTTTACAGTTTGGTTCAATGGCTCTCAGCACCCCTATTATACAAATTGTTCCAGCATCTCTGCACGGGACTACTTGGAGGAGTGAGGTGAAAAGGGTTAGACCTGTGTCTGGGCGTGATTCTGGAAGTCAGAGGAACTTCTGAGCCTCAAAAGGCAATAGGAGTTGAGGGCACTTACATGTTTTTGGAGATACTCTGCCCACACAGTCAGGCTCACTGGATCAAATGTTTTTAGGCTGTGGCACATGGTTGTCAGATTCTGTTTCCTAACACTCATGATATCTAGGACAACCATTGGTCTGCACACCTGCCATTTTATATTTCTATTAGGTGTGATTATTTTAATATGGATTGTTGAAATCTTACGTTTCTCTTTTTAATCAAATGCTGTGCTCCTGGGTTTGGAACAAGATGAGAGAAGTGGTTTTAATGAGCAGACCTGGGACATGAATTTCAATGCATTTAAGGAAAATATGAGTGAGAAAGGGGCTTTCAGATCCACATATGTTTCATAAAGTTTCCAACCAACATATGTCTGCCTATATCTGCAGCTTTTCTAGTATAGTCTAGTTTTAGCTTCT